TATATATATATATATATATATATATATATATATATATATATATATATATATATATATATATATAAAGGGCAGACGAATACGCAGAGAAAAAGAAAAGCAAACGAAGAAATCAATAAATAGATAAATGAATACATACCGACACAGTAAGGTATCTATTAATTTTTTTTTTTGCTTTATAGTTTTTAATAGATAAATGAATACATACCAACGCAGTAAGGTATCAATGCCCCCATAAGACTGTACATCGCCCCTGAAGACCCGACGGTGATATTACAGGGGTCTGCAACGGCAGATAAGAGATTCCCACTGAGGCCACCGATGAAAAATAATAAAGCTGTACGCCAGAAACCCCAATCCTGTATTCATAAATCAGAGACAGAAAAGAAAGATAGAAATATAGAAAGATGAAAGAAAGGAAATAAAGAAAGAAAGGGAAGAAAGAAACGAAAGAAATAAGGAAGTACTGAATGAAAGAAAGAAAAGAAGAAAAAAAAAGAAGAGGTAACAAAGAGAGGAAACAGGGAAGTAAAAAAAGGTAGAAAACAAAAAGCAAAAAAGAACAAAAACAAAAGGTGTATAAGAACGATCGGTAGAAGAAGAAACGATAACGGCATATTCAAAATACATGGGTTCATAACAAACTCTGCATGAAGAAATATATATATATATATATATATATATATATATATATATATATATATAATCATCATAATATATTTATGCTATAAAGGGTTATCTTACGGGTTCAAGCATCCACAGGCTTTGTATCTGACAGAGAAGATTAATGCAGATATGTAGAAATCCACCATGAAGATACATGGAGGTGAAAACTCTGAATATTTCACCATAATTTCGGATATAATTTGTTTCTAAGCCACCGAAAACCGAAAGAATTCTGCTGTTTGGTGAATCCCATGAAGCCGAAGAAGAACCACTGGCTCCGTTCTTAACCAAGTCCGTTGGGTACCCCTTGTCGCTAGCTCGGCTTCCTACTGCAACACGAGGATATGCAAGAGACCCCAAATTATATTCACAAGCACCGTAACCATAACGAATCACCATCGGGGCCCTATCGTCAACATTATCAATTTTATAGTCGGGGTACTGCACAGAGCTGACGCAGCGGCCGTTGAAACTCGTATAGTTATACAACAACCTGAACGGAAACAACACCAGAAGCAGCAGCAGCAGCAGCAGTAGTAGTAGCAGCAGCAGCAGCAGCAGAAGCAGCAGTTATAGCAGTTGTACTAGCAATGGTAGGTGCAGCAGTAGTAGCATAAAGAACAACAAGAAGAGGGTGCACGCAACATAAACAGAAAAAAACAACCAACACCGATGATGCATGCAAAGTAAACAAAAACAAACAACAGAGAAAAGGACGCATGCAGATTTTCGCATTCGTGAAGCCTCTTAACCTCCAACGAAAGCGAACAACTGGCCGCATAT